CCCAGTTTGCTACAGGGTGTGTGCACTCACCAGAGAGAGGCAAAAACAGAAAGTGAGAAATCACCCCAGGGGGATGGGTGTGCGCAGTCCCTCCTCCTCTTGGGATTTTGGGCACGCATGCACATGAGCCTAGTGTGTCTCTCAAGCGGCTGGGTCTGGGATTCGAGTTGCAAAGTCAAACGCCATGTGGGATCCGGCACCTTAACCTCTGCGTCTCCGCTGGCCCCTCAGTTACTCTCCATAACAACGCCATAGGGGATTGCTATGCCAGGTTACAAAGTCCCTGGGCTGCTTTGGAGGATGTGATGAGGGCTTACACACCAGTCGGACCCCCGTGTCAATAAACAATGGCTGTCAGTACCTTCACCTCGCAGCCCACTGCCCCTGCTACACCAGCACAGAGGCGCTCTGGGTCACCCCATCATGAGTCTGACCTCTGTCAGCATTCAGTGTGAATCGGACCAGTGGCTTGACTTTCACAGGGGAACCAGCTGCCCACAGCTAGCAGCTCTGCTAGCTGCACTCCCTGCCCTGCAGTGTCTGTGTGCGTGTGTATGCGCACGTGCACAGTGCACACACGTGCACACACGCACATGTACATGTATGTTGGGAGGTCGAGTTTCCTCTCCTCTGAGCCATGTGATCCTGCTGCTGGAACCAGAAAGGCCAGGTCAGGACAATCTGCCTGAAGCTGCTCCCAAGGGCACAATGGGACTCCTGCCCCAGGGGGTCTCTGCTGGGGAAAGTCTGCAGCTCCCCCAGGACATGCTGAGAGCCAGAGCAGGGGGGCGGCTCCTCAGCAGAGAAGTGCGATGCAAGGGCAGGCACACAGCAGCTCTGTGTACTCTGCAGCAGGAAATGTGTGTGTCTGGGCTCTCTGGGCCTTCAGAGAGCTTGGAACTTGCTGAGGATGAAAATTGCAGTTCTCATGCACAGTGTGATGCAAAACCATTCAAGAAGTCACTAGAATGCAGATTCCTGGGCCCTGTCACCTAAGCCTGACTCAGCAGGCCTGAGGAGAGGCTGTGGGTAATCAATAAACCACAGTCTGAGAAAGCTTGATAGGAACCTTCATCATGTTCCTCCAGAAGACACAGCAGTCAATCTGCTTCCTTATTTTCTTGAGCTCTGAGCCTCAGTTTCCCTTTCACCTAATGGAGACATTCACTTGCTTTTAATTCATGTGTTAAATGTTCTGTATTCTACCTTACGCCAGAAAGAATTTTAAATGGTTTGCAAAAATAGATAAAATTCAGCAATGGTACTATAAATCAGAAGTAAAAAAAAAAACGAAAAAAATAGTTTAAAACAAGGGGGTCAGAGTGAGTCTCAAAATGCAAGTCTGTGTTTATTGCTGGCCACTAATGAGGCTCTCGGGGACTGGTTCTTTCCTGGGCTGTGCAATAAAATCATTAGGCAACTTTTAGGAACTCGCGAGTCATGGCCACAGGCAGGCCACTTCCGTTAGGATTTCTGAGGCTGAGGCCAGGCTGCAGGGTTTGCAAGCTCCTGGGAGTTTGCTCCCAGGTTTGGGATGTATACAAGCGTGGCTTTTGTTGCTATTCTCTGGGCATTTGCTCTTGTCAAACTCACACACCATTTCTTAGTAATCTGCCTTGTTGACCTTGAATTTCATAAGGTGCCTTTGCTAAAGTAGAAATTAAAAACAGGACAAGGTGGGCCTTGGAGGTGATGAAGACTTGGGAGTCTCTGGGTGAACACCGGGCCCTCCAGCTAAGTGCCCTGAACAGAAGGTTCTACCTCTTAACAGCACCAGGCCCCTGGTGGGCCTGGCTTTGCGTGCTGTGACAGGCAGCGTGTCTTGGCTGGCGGCAGTGTGGAATGCCTAGAAAATGTCACACCAAGTCCCTGAGCAGCCTCTAGAGGTCAGCGTGAGAGGCCCTTTATGCTGCAGGCCCAGGGAATGAGGGGAGAGCTGGGGCTGGCTGGCCTGGCCTCTGGCAGGTGGCAGAAGCTGTTGCCACCCAGGCTTTAACCCTTTGTTGGGCAGCTCTTGAAAAGTGGCCTGGTTCATTCAGCCTTGGGAAATAGAGGGGCATGCTGCCTGGGGACGGAGGGTGAACAACTAGGGAACTGTCTTGGGAGCTGGGTGAATCCAACAGGAGTCTCGGAGGCAGACACCACTGCTCCCTGCTCAACCTTCAGGCTGCCCGGTGTGCCTTTGGCTTCTCTTCCAGCCCAGGCCAGACTGTCAACGTCCCTGTCCCTGAGAAGGCAGCCCACGTGGCAGTCCCAGCTCTGCTACTATCCGGAAAGCCTCTTCCCATCTCTGGCCTCAGCTTTCTGCTCCGTTAAATCAGGGGTTGGGTCAGATCAGCGGTTCCCAGCTCTCGAAGCTATGGGTGGTTGGACTGGTTTACTCAGGGAGCTTTTTAAGCAGGGTTGGGTTCCTTCTGTCCTAGAGATTCTGGTTCATTGGTTCTGGGATGTGTCATTTAACAGATACCCCAGAGAGACTAATGGGTGGGCCAGTGTGGGGCCCAGGGGGCAAGGAGGGGTCCGAGGACCAGCTCCTTCTGCTCACATGCTGTAGACCTTGCTAGGCTGGGTTCCAGGTAAACCGTGTGGTCCAAACTGAACAATGCTACCCCTACTTTTTTTTCTAATTTTGCCAGAGAGCATGTATGTGAGCCTGAGAGAGACAGAGAGAAAGGACCCTTCAATGGGCAACCCCTTCTCCTCCATGTCTCCGTCCTATTGGGATTTTGGGCACACACAGTGAGCTGGCACGTTTCCTCAGCTATCAGATCTGGGACTCGAACCGTGGGGTAGTCCATGTGGGATTTGACTGCCCCAATCACCAGGCCACGGAGCCAGCCAGATGTCGGGCCCTTTATGGCGCTGAAGAGAAACGTGCTGTCTAGCCTGCTCATTCCTATCTGCTGAGCTTCTTTTTTCCTGTGATGGGCTTAGGTGGAAAATGATAGACTGCCCTGTCCCTATGTAAGAGACGATGAGCACAGATCTTCCGAACACCTGCTGGGGCCAGGTGCTCCTCTGGGTGCTACCTTTCCACCTTGTATCCAGGGTGGCCTTGCACTAGTCTCAGCCACCCCACAAGGCAGGCAAACTATTTTCCATCTTACAGAAAAGGAAACTGAGGTTCAGAAAGGGTAAGCAACTTGCCCAGTGTCCTTAGCAGAATTTGAACCCAGATCTGTCTGCCTCCAACCTGCTATGCTGTCCGGGAAGGCCTGGCATCCTCTGTGCACCTGTTGGAGGGACACCTTCATTTGATCATGTGACAGGCAGCCTGCAGAGAAGGGCTAGGCATTGGGGTCAGCTCTGCCTCTTGGTGTCTTCACTTCATTCTCTGGAAGGTCACTCTCACACCCTCCCCTTCTGCCTTTATGAAGATGATAGACCCCCCCCAACACACATGATCACTTTTCTCCCTCTTCTCCTGGTGTGTGTTTCTCGAAGTGTGACATCTGCACTATGTGAGATGAGACTTTAGATTAAAAAGGGCTTTAAACATTAATTATGCCTCGGTAACTTTAACAATATAATCATGTGATAAGTATCTTCTTTCTAAAATAAATTCATTTTAACTAAAATATTATTTAAAGGAAAATAAGACTATAGATGTCTAAAATCAGGAAGATGGTTTGCACGTGGCCAAAGTTGGGGAAACACTGTCCAGCAGAAAATCTGAGCATATGGGTTTAAGTCCTCACCCTGGGATGGCTTGTTATGGACCAAGTCTCTAGACTACCTGAGCCTCAGTTTTCGGTCTTATGAAATGGGAATCAAGGCTGCCCCACCTGCCCACAGCACTGTGCTGAGGCCCTCAGAAAAACAGATGGGCCAGCCTTTAAAAAGTACAGAGCTCTGTCCATCCTTCAAGGGCAGCTGAGATCCCACCTCCTTGGCTGGTCTTTCCCAGTCCAGCAGAATTGCTGGTAAATGTTGAACAGTTGGCTTTCAAACAGGGCAGGCGGTTGGAGGGGTGGCAGGAGAGGACAAGAGAGAGGTATCTGTCAATTCCCTTGGTGTAAATACTCCCACAATGGCCAACTTTAAGCTGCTACCGTGAAGTCACTTAACAGGGAGTTGAGTAGAGATGCATGTCATCGGCTCTTGTGAGCCAGCAAGGTGAGTTGTAGCACACGCCTGCCTCCAGCCCACGATCATCTTTCTCTGCCAGGACCACCAGAGACCTTAGCTCATCAAGCTTCTCATTACGTCGTGAATTCATTTGTGCAAGTGAGTGTGTGTGTGTGTGTGTGTGCATATGTGCACGTCTTCCCTCCCGCCAGATTGCTTCTGGAGAGCTTACACTTCTCTTATCTTGCTCAAGGGACCCAGCACAAGACGGAGTGCTCGGTAACTGCTGGCTATTGTCACTGGTACTGCCAGTGTCAGCCCAGGCGTTCCCTGCATGCCTGCCGATTGCTGCGAGGTCACCCTTGCATTCTCCTCCAAATGATTCATTAGTTCAAACCCATATCTGGCCCCTTGAGTGGAATTCCTGTCAACGCGACAAGGGCTTTTAGGAGCAAATGAGTTCCGGCCCACCTACAATCTGTGTGACCACGGACTAGTCACTCAACCTCTGTGCCTTACCTTCCCCATCTGAAAAGCAGAGATAATACTAGCATCCTTTAAGCTGAGCTGCTTAAAGGATTAAGTAAGTTCATAGTGCCAAGCACTGGTCAGGGCTGGGAGAGTGTTTGTCTTGTTAGATCCATTTCGGATGATCTCATCACGATCTAATCATGCTTGCTAGCACTGGGAGGGGCCACTTTTCCACCTGAGAGGTGCTCTCTAGTCTGGTCTCCCCACTGGCCTTCTTGACCCTGTGGGCAGGACATTCAGCAGGTACCGCCCCCCACCTCGGCATGGGTCCCTGGGTCCGGGCAGGCCGGGGCTGACCTGTAGTTACCCTTCTTGGAGGCCACATGCAGCGGGAGCAAGCCGTCCTTGTTGGCCTTGTTGGCGTCGGCGCCCTGCGACAGCAGGAACTCCACCACCTCCTCGTGCCCATTCTTGCAGGCCTCGTAGAGAGCCGACGCGCTGTCACTGGCCTGTGTGTTGATGTCAGCACCTGGTGAAGGAGAAGCAGACTGATGAGTGACCAGGGGAGTCACTGCCCTCGCGGTAACGCCCCCCGTGTGCTGGGCGCGGTGGCACTAACTTAGTGTCTCCATGTGCTGGAGCATTTAACCAGGACCCTGAGGGAGAAGAAGTGTGCTCTGGCCCGCCCAGCTCCCTCTGCCAGCATGGAGACCCAGGGCCTGCCAGTGTGAACAGAGGCCTCTGAGAGCTCAAAGCAGCTGCAGTGACCTTGGTATTTACTGAGCTGAGTTCCTGGCTCTACATGAGCTCTTGAAAGCCACAGGGTAACCCCATGAGATCCGCACTGCTCTTCCCTCCACTACAGACGAGGACACAGAAACACAGAGAGCCCAGGCAACTCGGCCCAAACCACCCAGCTCTCAAATGTGAGCCAGACTTGAACCCTGGCAGTCTGACAGCAGAGGCCACGGTGGGTGACCTGATGGCAGAAGCCACATGCTTAACCCTTATTCTGCCGTAAGGCTCTGCCCTGAGACAGGGCTTGCAGCTGTAGATCACAGAGCCCCTAAGAAGGAAAACCCCAATAACTTGATGAGATGGTGAAGTAGGAGATACGGACCCTGAAAATAGAGTTAGGATATAGGGCCAAAATGGAATTACAAGATGGGTAAGTTTTAAGGCGGAGACACAACTGCTGGACTGCTTGCTCAGGAGAGACGGTTTACTGCAGTGGCTCGGAGGCCGAGGCAGCGTGACCCAGAACAAAGCCTTTTCCCAGGCCTCGCCACATTCTCGAAGCAGATAAGATAATGGTTCCTATCACCCAAAGCTTTTAGACAAAGAATCTCCTGACCGTCCTACCCACTCCAAAATTAGAGAAATAACTGGGCCCATCAAGCATGAGACCCCCTACTGTGAGGGAAGTGCTTGCACAAGAGAACAAGCCCAGAAAAAGCCCTTCTAACCAAGTAAAACCCTCTTCCCAGTCCCTCCTCTACAACCCATTTTCTGGGACTGTTCCCTACTTGGGAGCTCTGTTCTTTCTTCCCCCTCTTCTTCCTTTCTTTCTCTCTCTCTTTCTTTCTTTCTTTCTTTTTTTCTTTTTGAGAGTTTTTGCTATAGGGTACATGCACTTGCCAAAGAGACAGAGAGATACAGAGACAGAAAGTGAGAAATCAACCCCTGGGGCAATGGTCACACCGCAATCCCTTCTCCTCCATTTGCCTCCCAGATCTTGGTTACGCACGCACACAGACGTGCCTGGCAGGAGTTTGAAGCCACTGGGTCAGGGACTTGAACCGCGGTTGGCCAGGTGGGGAGTCCAGTGACATAACCGCTACACCATCTGCTAGCCCCTTCTCTCTCTCTTAATAAACTCCACTTGCTATGCCCTCTCTGTGTCTGCGTCTCTCATTCTTTGTGAGTGTGAGACAAGATCCCGTGTTCCACTGTGGGTGCTGGGCCTGATGGCCCCTGCCTGCCCCCTCATGTCCCTGCATCACTGGAGTTTGTTTCTCTCTGCCTTCCACTTCAAGGAGTAAGAGAGGGATTGCTTCCTGTCACCCCCGGAAGAAGACTAAGCCTTGCCGATAGGAGGAAGAGCTGAGCTTGATGACAGTTCGCCCTCGGCCCAGTCTACCGCATCTTGGGCAAAGGCAGACGAGAACTGATGTGTGTGTGATTTCTCTGCAAAAAGAGGGTCCACTTCCATTGTCCCAGCAAGAGATGGCACTGAGACAGCCACGACATGTCAGTAAGGCCTGGAACCAGAAGCACCCGCTAAGCACACGTGTCTCCCAGAGCGTTCCGCTTCCCTCGGGCTGGTGAGCATCCTTTTCCCATTACAATGGAGCTGGCATCTGGTCTAGTGGGGGGCCCACAAGCTTTGGTGACAGCCGAGGACAGATGACGTTTCTGGTTCATGACTTATGGGTTCCATGCCTTAAAGCAGCCTTCTGAACCTTCGGCTTTCTCATCTGTGGCCCAAGAAGAAGAGCACCTACCCTCAGGGTTAGAGCAGAGTAAAGACATCCGAGTATCTCTGTCAGCCGGTGCCTGGCCCAGGGAAGGCGCTCGGCCATGCCGTTTATCCAGGGTGGAGGCACCTGGGCAAGAGGCAGGTTCCGCCCTCCTCCCATGTGTGAGGGGTGAGCATGGGATGGCCCTGACACTCTGCCGAGCTCTCAGAGTCTGACTCCCTGCAAGGCTGGGGCCCCACCAGCAAGGCTGCCTGATCACACAAGAAAAATATTTAGATTGAAAAATAGACTCAGCTCACAAAGGGAGCAGACCTGACTCAGAGTGCCAGCAGGAGACCAGGCAGATGTTTAGACATGAGGGCTTGCCCTGGCTTGCTGAGCACCTGCCCTCTGCCCCGTCCTGGTCTGGGCTCCCAGCGCCTGCCGTCCCCTCCGTCCCCGTGCTGGCCCATGCAGATCTGTCCCTGGCTGCACAGAAGTGCCCTGGGCCTGTTTTCCCACCTGCTGGGCACGTGCTGAGGACATGCACACATGTCACCAGGGCAGAGACTCCCACTAGCGACTCTCACAGGCTGGGGGTGGAGGCAACAGAGCGAGGAGTGCATGGTGAGGCAGATGGCCGCGAGTCAGAATCCAGCCCCGACTGTGACTGGTCATTTAGCCTCTCAGAGGCTCACTTTCCTCAGCTGTAAAATGGGATGAGGACACGCCCTACCTCAGACTGCCCTGGAAAAGGCCATCGACCTGCTCTGAGTTCGTGCTCAGCCGTGTCTGGCACAACAGTGGGTCCCCGACAAAGAACCAGCTCAGCCCTGGGCTCCGGGTCACCTCTGGCCCCTCCCTTACTTCCCATGGAGAGAGAAAAGAGATCGAAGGCATTCTGGGGGGAGATCAGAATCTAATGCACTCTCTCTTGTTTTTGTTTTTGTTTGTTTGCTATAGGGCACGTGTACTCACGAGAGAGAGAGAAATAGAGGGAGAGAGAAAGGAAAGTGAGAAGTCATTCTCCGGGGGGATGGCCATGCTCAATCCTGTCTTCTCTGTTCTCCTCTTGAGACTCTGGGCACGCACACACGCGTGCCCGGCATGATTTTCAAGCCACTGAATCCAGGACTCTAACCACATAGTTGGCCATGTGGGATCCAGCTGCCTTAACCACTGTGCCACCAGCTGCCCAGCGAATATAATGCTCTTTAACCGAAAGAATGCCTGTCATTGTCTTCTGCTTCCGGAACATGGTGATGCGGGAAATGTGTCGTTCTCCCCCATGAAGGTTTTTCACAAGCGAAGAGGGCAAAGATCTGAATTCCAACCCCAGGTCTGCACTAATTCGCTGTGTCCCTGGTTTCATCCCCTGTAAAATAGGGAGGTGATCTAAATGCTGTCTTTGGTTCCTCCTAGTGAAGTGTGATGTGGTGGAGACTGGCTAGTTCTACGATGACTTTTCTGTGTGACTCTAGGTAAGTCACTTCCCTTTTCTGGGCCTCAGATTTGTCATTGGAAAACAAAGATATGGGGCTAGATAAAAGATGGCCAACACGTGGCATGTAGGCTGTACCCCAAAGTTTGGGCCTGGTTACGGATATCATCGGGAGCCCGAGACTCTTCCCACCGAGCCTTGGGCACGGCCTCAGCATCCTTCACGACACAGCACGCCAGGAGGAGCAACCGGGAGGTCAGTCTGGCAACAGGATGACGCCTACCCGCATCCTAAGGACTCTGTGAGCAGGGACCTGCCACTCACCGTGCTTGGCGAGGAAGCGCAGGGCCTCCAGCTGCCCGCTCTGGGCGGCCACGAACAAGGGGCTGATGCCGTAGGCGTTCTTGGATTCCACCTTGGCCCCGCCGCTCACCAGGACCTCCATGACCTCCAGGTCGTTGCGAGAGACAGACTCGTGCAGGGCTGTCCAGCCGCGGTTGCAGCGGTGGTTGGTGTCCGCGCTGTGCTGCACCAGGATCCGCACGGCCTCCACGTTCTTGCGCTCACAGGCTGTGCCCAGGGAGAAGACGGTCAGCCCGGGCCTGACGAGGCCTGGCCAGTGAGACTTCAGCTGTTCGCTTGTCTGTTCACGCATTCACTGGTCAGTCATTCATTCAGCAACATCCCCGGGGTGTGCTCTCGGTCCCAGCCCCTGCCCTGGGCCTAGGGTACGTGACTGAGGTAGTTCCAATGCCAAGACCAGCAATGCTGTCTGACACGTACCAGCGCTGCTCCACGCCCAGCTGTCTGAGCACTCTGTGTTAACTCCCTCCTCCTCACTGCCCTCACAGCACGTGGTGGTGCTGCACCTTTCCCGGGCGAGCAGGAGAGGCACACGCGGCAGCCTTGCCCGTGGTCACACAGACAGTAAGTGGCAGCACTGGGGTTCAAGCCCAAGGGGTCAGGTCCAGAATCTCTGTCCTCTGGAATGTTCCAGAATGTCTCCTACCGTGTCTCCCTTCCAATGTTGCCTGCACCAGTCCTCCACATTACTGGGGCTCCCTGAAGGGTGGACAGTGTCATATTCCTGCTCGACCTCCCCCTCCAAGGGCTACTCATTTAAGCTGGGGTAAATCTGTTCACTGAGTATTGCTCATTACAGCTTTCTCGATCTGTTCAATCTTCCTTCTAGGCCTCATCTCTCTCGAGACCTGAAATGCACCCTTAGCTCTGGCTAGAGTTGGTGGGCACCTGGGCACTTGTCCAGATGAACTGCCCTGGATACTCCCCTGTGTCAGTGTCATAGTGCAGGGGGTCAGTGGGGAGCAGGTGGGGTGAGGCCCATGTGGTGTTTCAGACAGGCCTACAGGCCACGCTCTCCACCTGCCTGAGCTTTGGTTTTATTTCTTTTTTATTTTATTTTATTTTATTATTTTTTTTGAGAGGTTTTTGCTATAGGGCACGTGTGCTCGCCAGAAAGACAGAGAGACAGAAAGTGAGAAATCACCCCCCCAGGGAGGATGGCCACACTGCAATCCCTTCTCCTCCATTCTCCTCTTGGGATCTTGGGCACACACGCACACGTGCCTGGCATGAATTTAAGCCACCGGGTCCGGGACTCAAACTACATGTCAACTACATGGGAGTCCAGCGACATAGCCATTACGCTAACTGCTGGTCCCAGAGCCTTGGTTTTCCTACCTGTACACCAGCCACAGTCAACCTTCCTGAGAGGATGCCACTGGAGGAGCAGATGAGACCATGTATGTAAGGCACTTCTGTGTGCTTGGTCCTTAGTGGGATTGCACGCGGGACCAGAGCCACGCTTCTGCTCCCACTTGCCCAGCTCTGTGGGACAGCTGAGGCACCAGGTGGTGGCCAGGGCACGGGGCAGGGTGGGGTAGGGAAGAGCTGCAGTGGATCCCTGGCCTGGTTCCCGGTCCCTGCTGCTGTGAATGTTCTGAGTGCACGCATGGGAATCAGGGGACTCTGTAGTTTCTCAAATCACAAAGGCCCTATCGTGTTTGCAAGACCCAAGCTGATTGCTTGAATTCTTGGCATGGACTAGTGCTGCAGAATACATGGTTCTGAGCATGATGCGGGCATCCAGCTTCCTGAGTTCCAGTCCCAGGTCTGGCCCTTGCAGGCTGTGTGACCTGGGTAGCTCATTTCACACCTGTGTGCCTTGGGATCATCTTGGGGACATTAGCAATGCCTACTGCACATGCAGATGCACACAAGGGTTCAATGAAAGGACAGTGGCTGGCACATAGTAGCCGCTCAGTAAACGCCAGCTGTTAGGATTGCGCAGCTTCTGCCTCTGGGCCGCCACGCATGTCCTTGCTGCTGTGCTGGATAACCCAGAGGCTCCTTTCCCTTAGACACTCGGAGGCACACTCCCTCTCCCTCTCAGACCGCCTTGTGTTTGCCATGCTGTTCGTCCTGCGTGGCTAGTTGCGAAATCATCCCGGCTCAGGTCCAGCTTGCACAGACCCTCCTCTGGGCCTCTCCCCACACTCCCACCACACCTCCTGCCTTGCTGACATCAGGCGTCAGAGCCCATCGGGCTCGGAAAGTGCTCGGGCACACCCGTATCTCTTCACCACGGAGCCATTAGTATTGCTCAGCGTGTCTGGCCCATGGGAGGTACTTGGGAAATGTCAGCGAAACACACTCAACTTCGTAGACCGTGCACCCGAGGGAGGCCTGCCTCCTTCAGCGTAGACCACGTGGGAGGACAGTGGGGGGTTGGGTCTGGGGAGAGCTGGGGAAGCAATGTTCCCCTGTTACCCCCCAGCCCAGCTTTCGAACTCCTCAGGGAAGCTCCCCCACCCCACCCCCGGGGGGCTCACCTTTGTACAGCGGTGTCTCTCGGGACTTGTTGGAGATGTCTGGCTCTGCTCCGGCCTGGAGCAGCGACCTGAGGCAGTCCAGGTGTTCCCTGCAGGTTGCCAGGTAAAGGGCCGTCTCCTCCTGCAGGGTACGCTGGTCAACGGCTGCTGGGTATGCTGGTAGGACCGCAGGGCAATTTAGGAAGGAGAAGGCTTGACCTGACAACACAGGCGCCTGCCCCTCCCTAGGGCAGACCTTCACCCTCGGAAATCTACCTGCCATAGATCGCCTTCGCTTTGTCTCCTCCAGGAGTGTTATAGCTTCCTAGTGATAGAGTGCAGCTCAGAGGCCACCTCCTCCGGGAAGCCTGCCCTGGTCCTCCCCTCCAATGCTCCAATCCTTCCCTTGCACTAGGCATGTGGTGGGCTATCTGGGACCTCTGCTGCTTGAGGGCACCCGAAGATCTGAATCGAGCTCAGGAGAAGGGTCCCACAGCTGGCAGGGGCAGCCCTGGCAGGGCACAGGCACAGCTGCAGGATTCTCCACACCGAATCAGCCCCTGGGACATTCTGGAACGTGTTGGCAGCAGCTCTCCCCAGAGCCAGCCCTCCCTCATTCCTTTTCTTGGAATTAGGCTTTCTTGTCCTGGGATGCCTGGGGAAGTGGCAGCAGGGGGTGCGTGGTGGGGGTGTGGGCTGGGGACCTGTTCCTTTCCCTCTCCCAACTTAGGGACTTTAACTGCCAAGCAGGGGTGACAACTTTGCCTGCCCCTGTCACCAAGGTGCTTGTCAGGCTGAGATTACGAGGCCTTAGAGGACGAAGCCACCCCAGGCCCACCGGCCCCCACTGCACCCAGCCTCACCTTGCTGCAGCACCCTCAGGCAGCCCAGCTGGCCGTAGTAGGCGGCCTCGTGCAGCGGCAGCCAGCCCTCCTTGTTGGGCTCCGCGAGATTCTTCCCTTCCTTGATCATGGCCTTCAAGGCCTCTTCATCGCCTTCCTTGATGGCCTTCAGCACGGGGTCCACAGCCCTGGAGAGCAAGGAGCAGATCAGTCCTCAGGAGCGGGCAGAGGCACGGCCCGGTGGCCTCTCTCCAGAGGGAAAGCGGTGCGGACTCTGGGTCACCCAGTCCTGCTTGTTCCAGCTGGTTCTGGACAGGTGCTCAGCCCCTCGCAGCCTGGGGGGTCACAAGAGAACTGGGGGCCCAGCTGTGCCCATGGCACTGTCTGTCTGCGGTGGACGTTAAACTGGGACCTTTTTTTGCATCCAGAGCCAGCCTCTGGGGAGGGAAGGAGCCTCTCCCTACAGAGGGCTGGTGATAATTAAATGCCTTCCCTGAGACAGTGCCCCGACCTGACCTTCCTGCATGGCCACCTTCAGGACCCGCCAGCTTCGAGGAGCTCCGAGAGGAGGGGCCTTCCTCCAGGGGGCATCTCTCTGTGCTTTCCAACTCCCCTCTGCCCCAGCCCTCATCCCGCTCTAGCTGCTGGAAGCATAAATGCTTGAGGGATTAACAAATTTGAAGCCTTCACAGTTCAAAACTTCCAACTGTCAGGAAGATTTCAGGGCTGATGTGAAGGACATCTTCTTTGCTGGGCTCATAAAGTCACTTCGCCCATTGATTCATCCTTCTGCTGAGCACCCTTCCCCATCCCTGGGGACTCAGCAAGGCCCACGGCAGCTGTGACTCCCAGAACCACTTCTGCATAGCCCCATTTCCCAGATGAGAGGGTGAGGCTGGAGGTAGGCCTTGTTCCCAGGACCCCACTGCCCCAGGGTGAGGATGGGCTGCGAGGGTGCCTGGCCAGGGCCCCTGCACCCGCCCGACTGCTTTCCCTGCGCCCACGGCACTTCCTCCTGACTCTCGCTCTCTGGTTATTAATAGCACGAGAGCACAGATGTGGTTCAGCTACAGACCCAGCAGGGAGGATGGAAACCGACCAGCCGAGTCCCGCGGCCATCAACAGAGAGCTCCACTCAGGAGCGGCGGGAGCAGCTCACGGCAGTGTCCAGTGTCGGGGAAGCCCCAGCGGGGTATGTGCCCCCTTCCACCTGAAAGCTCTCCTGCGGGGGCCCCGGCTGAAATGAGGGAGCAGGCTGCGGTGCTGTGGCCTTGGCCAGGAGTGCGGGGCAGGGTCGTGAGAGCGCTGGCAGGAGGGCCCCCAGCTGGGCTCTCAGGTGCAAGGACCCCAGCTCTCCATGCTGATGGTCGGACCTGAGCTCAAAGTCCCCACCTCGAGGTGGGGGATGCTGGGGATGATAGGCCAGCAGAGACTAAGGAGGTGGACGGGACCCTGGTGGCCACTTTGTCCTTTCCAACCCTGTCCTACAGAGAACTCTGAGGGGACAGCGACTCTCAGCAGTCACACGGAGAGCGGCAATTATGTGGAGACCACAACCGGGTCTCTTTCTCAGACTCAGCCCCACCGACAGCATCGGGAAGTGGGGGCGGGTGGCAGGCTCTGAAAAAGGCCCGGGCGGGAGAAACGAAACACTGTAGCCCCTCTCCTCCCGGCAAGGTAACTGGGCAGGGAAGTAGGGGATCAGACACAGGGCCCCTCTTGTGTTTCAGCTGCATCTGGGGTCACTTACAGGGTGCAGAGAAGAGAACAGCTCTTTTCCAAGGCTCCCACTAGCCCAGCCCCATGGTGCCAGGCAAACAGGGCCCCCTCCCCGCCCCCTGCAGCTCGGATTATTTCTGGATTGCGGCACCTGGCCCCACAAAGAAAGGGGACAAAGCCAAGGGAAGCTGTGGACATGGGAACTGGGTATATCCTGGAGCCGACGTGGCAGGTGGCAGAAAGCAAGGTGGGGGTGCTCAGGGGGCAGCCCACACTCCAGCTTCAGCTCTGAGCCCCTCTGGGTCCCCAGGATTCTAAGGCCTCTCCCCAGTTTCCCTCCTGCTGAGTCCCCAGGTTCAGAGCCCCACAGGACTCCTGCAGTACATTGGCCCCCTTCTGGGGGATGTCTGGGGGTTCATTCACAAGCTCAGTGCTGCTGGCAGTTCCTTGAAGACTGGAGCAGTGGCCGAGCCCAGTCCAGCAGCAGCTGGGTCTCTGGGGACACGCCTGGGAGGAGTCTGCCTGGGAGGTGCCTCCTTAGTACCCCCCCCCCGCCTCCCCGCTCCAGCTTTCCTGGAGGCACCACCTGCTACCCCCTCCCTGCCACCCAGGTTAGGGGCACGCGTGTGCATGGTCAGAGCCTGCGGGGTCACTTACGCCAGCTGGGAGGCCTTGAACTTCTGCATGACCTCCTGGAACAAACCCCTGGGCGCCGGGGCCGGGGCTGGGGCCGTCGAACTGGCAGGAGGCGCAGAGGACCTGGAGGGCGCAGAGCAGGAGTGAAAGAGGGCAAAGTACTCTGCATAGGAGAAGCGGGTCATGGCTGGAGGCAGGGCCGAGGATGGAGGGAGAGCTGGGGCGAGACTGACAGACAGACACAGGCTCTGCACCACAGCAGATGGCCGGGCCCTCTCTGTGTGCTGGACACAGCTGCTGTGTCTCCGAATTATTTTTGGCCCTTGGAGGAAGCCCTGGGAGACTTAAATGACCATATAAGACAACAATGAGGTTAACCTCACCCCCACCCCCACCGGCCCCCTCCCCAGCCAACCATGAGAGAGGCAGATAGGAGCAAGGTGACATTCCTCCGCCGGAGGATGTGAGAAGTGGTCTGTGGCAGGTCCCAGGATGACAGGAGTATGACAGGGGTCAACCTCGGGCTGGCTAGGCAGATCAAGGATGGGCAAGCTGAGGAGCCAAGCGGTCTCTGTGTGCCCCCTTGCCAGCCCCTCAGGAGAGGGCCGTGCCCCCCCGCCCGAGGACAGACAATGTGGAGGTTACAGCAGAAGGATGCAGGAGGAGGTCACCTGAGCCCGGGCTTGGAGTCAGACGGACTTGCCCTGCCTTTCTATACTCCCCAGCTCTGTGACCTCCATGCTGAAGGCCCTGGGACTTTAAAGAAGCCCCTGCCACTTCGAAGTAGCCTCTTCCCCTCTTTGTGCCTTGGTTTCTTCATTAGCAAAGTAGGGAGGCAGGACCAGACCAGGAGCTCCCTCACTGCTCTTGTGGCCTGGGGACACTCAGTGTCACACAGACCCAGGGCGGGAGTGGTAGAGGTCCCTGGCCGGAGGATGTGAGAAGTGGTCTGTGGCAGGTCCCAGGATGACAGGAGTATGACAGGGGTCAACCTCGGGCTGGCTAGGCAGATCAAGGATGGGCAAGCTGAGGAGCCAAGCGGTCTCTGTGTGCCCCCTTGCCAGCCCCTCAGGAGAGGGCCGTGCCCCCCCGCCCGAGGACAGACAATGTGGAGGTTACAGCAGAAGGATGCAGGAGGAGGTCACCTGAGCCCGGGCTTGGAGTCAGACGGACTTGCCCTGCCTTTCTATACTCCCCAGCTCTGTGACCTCCATGCTGAAGGCCCTGGGACTTTAAAGAAGCCCCTGCCACTTCGAAGTAGCCTCTTCCCCTCTTTGTGCCTTGGTTTCTTCATTAGCAAAGTAGGGAGGCAGGACCAGACCAGGAGCTCCCTCACTGCTCTTGTGGCCTGGGGACACTCAGTGTCACACAGACCCAGGTGCGCACTCCCCGGAAAGCATGCAGGGCAGGCAGGTCGGGGGGCTCCCCACAGGCCTGAAAGCTGCTGGGCCCTGTGTCCTATGTGCTCACCCCTGCCTGAGAAGGGGCCAGTGCTGGGAGGTGGAGGCAGCCCGGGGCCTGGTCCACCTTGGTTGTCACCAGCTCTGTGGTCTTAGGAAGCCCTGGCTTCTGTCCCCGCTGATCCCCGAGACTTAGCCTCCCTCATCTCTGGTCTGTGTGTGGCCTCTGATCACCTGCTGCCATTGAACGTTTCTGGGGAGACGATAGGCACTGGAGCGTCCTCACCCTGGGACCTGTCAGTGGTCAGGGTTCCCACTGCACTGGGGCAGGGGCACTGAGGCTGGTGGAGTTGGAGCCAGATGGTGAGGACATCTGCTCAGCCAGTGTAAGGCGAGGGCTTCTGAGGCCGTTCCATCACCTGTCTCCCTCCTCCCCCGCCATCAGCGGAGGCTGGGGGTTTACTGTCCCCATTTCACAGATGAGGACAGACAGACTGAGCTCCATCAGCTCTGTCCCAAACCATGTACTGGGGGCTAGAGGGGCGGGTCAATAAGACAAGTCTTTCTGTGGGATCCTTAAGACGCTCGAGGCCGGCAGAGTGGGAGGCGAGGACACCCCCACCTCTGTTGCAGGGGGCTGCTGAAATCGGGGCAGAGCTCATTCTGGGGGCACTGCAATCAGGGTGTATTAACTTGATTCTGGGGTCAGGTAGGGTGACCGCTCAGAGTTACAGAGCTGTGTCTCAGAGCTGGATGGGAAGCCAGGCCCCCTCCCAGTTCCGTGCTCAAGACAAGAGGCCCCATTTCCCCTTGGGCCTTGAACCGGGGATTCCCAGCACAGTGAACCCGAACCCGCAGGGCTGAGTCACAGAGGTGAAGGGAAGCTGCCTGGGGCAGGATGTGGGTGCAGGTCATGACCCAGAAGAGACTCAGGTAGGGCCCATCCTTGCTGTGTCAGTGGGCAAGTTTGGGGCTGGGAGTACGTCACCATGCCCTGACTCTGGGGGTCAGGCTGGGAGAGAGTGGGGAGCAGGCTGTGACAGCATGCCCCGTAATTCAACAATGGCTTCAGTTGGGCTGGGCCTGGCTGAACGCAGGTGCCAGCAGGCACCTTAATGAGGAAGGAGCTGACCAACCCAAAAGAGTGCCCACTCCCACCCTGTGCCAGGATCCTCTACCTGTGTTCTCACCAGATCCTCATGCCAAACCACGCCAAGCACTGACATCAAGAGAACAAGGCCTGGCATGCAGTGGATGCCTAATATCGGGTCATCGGAAAAATCATGCTGCATTTCTGCAGAGAAACTGTCATGACCTTTCTTTCGACCCCATACATTTAAATGAGTGATCCAAACAAAGGCTCAGAAGGGCTCGAGATCCCAAACTCCTGTGGAGCCAGCCCCCTGCCCTCCTGGGCAGAGGGAGAGCTCACCATATAAGCGCCCTCCCCCTCGTCCCTGCAGGGTGCCTGAGCCAGCCTCCCACCTGTAAAGGTTCTGTTCCTCCTTCACCACCACACCCTTTCAAAGTTGGCCAGAGAGGAATGGCATGTAGAGGGGAGCGTGAACTCCAGGCTGGGCAGCTTGGTCCCCCGCGCACGGCTGCGATTCATTGAGTACCTGTTCTGTGCCCAGCCTTGTAAAGGCCACATTGTATAAAACACCTCATTTTATTCCCCAGCCCACTTATTATCCTGAAGGAGATATAATTGGGTTCCTTTTGCAGATGAGGAAACTGAAGCTCAGAGAGATTTGCTCCCTCTAGCTTGCTTGACAAACTCCTATTCGTCCTGCAAAGCCCACCTCCTCAACTGAATTCACCAACCCTTTCTGAATCCCTCTACAGTTGGGCAGGCTCCACTGCTGTCTTCTCCCTCCTGGGTTGGCACATGCCTCTGGGTCTTTATCTTCACTAGAGTGTGAGCTTATGGAGGGCAAGGTCCGGGCCTGATCCATATCCAGGTGCTGGGAGGGGATCAGCCATACCCTAAGTGCACACCCAGTGTAGGTGGCTGGATTTGAACTGCTTTCAGCTGTGTACACATCAGCCCAAGCAAGTTCCTGCTTCATGTTTTCCTCCTTTGGCTTCTTAGAAATGTAGCCTTAAATAAAATGCAGAAGTTTAAAGACCTCGATACCCCTGCTGGTCCATCCAGAGTCATCTCGAGCTCCCTGCTTCTGGGACCTGAGCCTTACTTCCCTGTGGGGTGGGAAGCCAGGTCTGCCCCATGGGGAGCCCCTGGCAGGTCAAGGTTTGGCAAATGCATCTTTCAAACTCCATCCCTCATATGGTTGTGGGGAGAAGCAAACTGGAAGATGGGGATAGAAGGCGATGTTGCATTTTCCTTGTGATGTGCGTGTGGCTCGCACGTCTAGGCCCCCAAAGACCCTGTTGACCTTTCTGTCCACAGATGTAAGATGATAATGTACATTACATTCCTAGGATGTTTGATTGGTTGCAAGTGCACTTATTTGCCTACAAGTATTTATTAAGGGCCTACAACTATCCAAGCTCTTAGCTGGGCACTGAGAACACAGAAGTGAACATCGTTTGCTCCTCGTCCCCGAGGAGGTCACAGCGTGGTGGGGACTCTCTCAGGAGGCCTACCAGGGTGACATGGAGGCTCATCTACGAAGCAGAGGCAGCCCTGAGGTTGGGGCTTGGGCACTCTGAGAGGGCTGGGGGTGGGGTTGGGGGGGGAATCATTCGAACTGCAGAATGCGGGGTAGATGCTGACACCTGCCTCTTTTACTGGCTTTTCAAGGTGAGCAAAGTCAGCTTCTGTTACTGCCTCTGCAGAGATAAGGCCATTGCGGCCCAGAAAGGGAAAGTAACATGCTCAAAATTGCACAGCCAGTAAGTGACAGAGGGACTGTTCCAAACCCACGTCTCTGTCCACACTTCTGCCGCCGTTCACCCATTCACTCGCTCACAGCTAGTTCTTGATTCTTGCCATGGGCCAGGCTTGGGCTTCACGGGAGGGAAGATGGGCACGAGGCCCAGCCCAGGAGGAGTTTTCAGATTAATGAAAGAAACAGACAGAGAAATGAGAACTGTAAAGTGTCATCGGGTCCATGAAGGACAGGGCCAGGAGAGCATGGGGGCCGGGTGAACTGCCCGACCTGGGAGGCCATCAGGACAGGACTCTCTGAGGAGGTGACATTTAACCGAGACCTGAGGATGAGAAGGAGCTGGCCACATGGAGCCCCTGGACACGTATGACACCCTGCTACTGCACACGCTCTGGGTTTACGTGGGTGACCCTGGTGCCGGGGGAGCGAGGTAAACCAGCACTCCCGCGGGGCTGTGCACACTGAAGTGCTAAGTCTAGGAGCGTAAGGACAAGCGTGTGCATGTGTGTGTCATGTGACTTTGGGGACCCTGAGCCTCTGTGGGTGGGAGGGGGACACACTGAGACAAAAACCCGCAGCACAGGGAGGAGGAGGAGCAGGAAGAGGCCTGTGGGGTCAGAAGCCCGGTGCAGGATGCACACTTCAGAGTGGGGCAGACTCCGGTTCAGCTCCTGGCCCCTCTGTGGGCATGTCCTGTCGTTGGTGAAGTGGGCACAGACGTGGCCTTTGAAGGCGTGAACTGGATTCAGCTGTGCAGGTTCTCAGTGTGCACTCGCAGGGCGTGAGGGAGAATGGCACCAGACTTTGTATCAAGGGGCTTTTTTCTTTCTTTCTTTTTTTTTTTTTTTGGAGAGGTTTTTGTTATAGGTCACGTGCACTCACCAGAAAGACAGAGAGAGACATAGAGACAGAAAGCAAGAAATCACCCCCCAGGGGGGATGGTCACGCCGCAATCCGTTCTCCTCCATTCTCCTCTCAGGATCTTGGGCACGCACGCACACGCGCCTGGCGTGAGTTTAAGCCACCGGGTCTAGGACTCGAACAGTGGTCAACTACTTGGAAGTCCAGCGACATAGCCATTACGGTAACTGCTGGTCCCTCAGGGGGCTTTTTCATCCTGGGGCTGAGCCTGGCCTCCTTCTAGACCCAGAACTCCTTCCAGACCCCTTCTACACACCTTCCAGGAGGTTTCAGGGGACACCAGGAGAGTGCTAGGCAGGCTGGCCCATCTCAGCTCTCCTGCTTATGCCTGGATTTGGGGTGAGGCCTGCCTGACTTTGGATGAGTGACCTCACGTTTCTCTGGGAGCTTTTCCCCCAGGAGGCCATGTCTCTGCCCCTTCCTGAGTGACCTCACGTTTCTCTGGGAGCTTTTTACACAGGAGGCCATGTCTCTGCCCCTTTCTCACCAGGTGAAGAGGAGGGTGGGGCCTGGGGCTCAAGGGCTCCTTCTGTTCTAAAGTTTCCGGGGATTTCGGGGCTCCCAGGGCCCCCACAATGGAGGAGGCTGCAGGTGCCTGGAGGACAGAGGGGGACGCCTTATTTCTCTCTGACCCCTCCTGAGAAACAGGAACCTGTGGTCAGACTTGGCTGAACTGGCCAGAACGGGAACCAGGGCCTCTGCAAGCACCGGCCTCAGTGACCCACGTTCTTGGCTCTGGGTTTCTGTTTTACAGACCGGGTCCGGGACAGGGCGTCCTCGGTGCAGCAGGTACTCAGAACCCGCGTCCTCGTCCCAGCTGCGCAAGGGGACTGCCTGCCTTTGCTTTAGAAGGGGCTCCTCAGCTCTGGCCATCCTGGCCCTCACAGGTTTACCCACCCCGTCACCTCTGAGTGCACTTCCTAACGAGTCTGTTTATTGATTTTACAAGGGAAGGAAGTTGAGGTTCTCAGAGGTTAAGTGACTTGCCCAGGGTCACACAGCCGTCAGCTGGTTTCTGGAGACAATGTGCTTTGAACCCTGTGCCCCGAGGTGACATCTACACAATTGTTACCACAATTCCCAGCCCCTGCCACTCATCCCAAAATACATCCTTGACCTTGACTCAGGGCATTACAATGTATATATTTCCTTTCCGAAAGTGTTTTAAGACCATTTGGCTCCCACCTCTTTAAGAAAGGTGGCCTTTAGCTCTTCACTGTCTAATGTTTGCAGCCCTGGCCACATGTGGCCAGTGAGTCCTCGAAACACGGCTGGCCTGAGTCAAGGTGTTCTGTGAGGGTGAGACACACGCCGGATTTCAAAGACTCAACAGGAAGAAAGGAAAGTAAAATTATGATTCATAGTTTTATATTGATGACATGTGAAAATACTGATATTCTGGATATAAAATGTATATGAAAATGGACTTTGCCTGTTTCTCCTTACTTTTTTAGAATTTTTATTTTATTTATTATTATTAATTTTAAAAATTGCTATAAGGCTTGTGTGCTCACCAGAGAGAAAGTGAGAAAGCAAGCTGCCAGGTCCAGGATTTGAACTGTGGTCGACCATGTGGGAGTCTAGGGACCTCATTGCTATGCCACCTGCTGGCCCATCTCCTTACTTTTCACACAGCTGTTAGGATATTTAAGATTGCATCTGTGAATCACACTGTGACTCGTGCCTTACTTTATCAGACGGAGCTGCTCGTAGACAGTTCGTGATCTGGACAAGGAGGGCGGCTGAAGCAGGGGAACCAGGACAGGAGGTGGAATGGCTTTGCTGGACAGACGTCCTGTGTATCCAGGACATGGGTTCTTGGGCAGGGCGCCCCAACCCCTAGGCCACGGGCTGGTACTGGTCCATGGCCTGTTAGTGACCAGGCTACACAGCAGGAGGTGAGTGGCGGGTGAGGGACTGAAGCTTTCTCTGATTTTACAGCCGCTCCCCATCACTCACATTGCCGCCTGAGCGCCACCTGCTGTCAGAGCAGCAGCATGGCAGCATTAGATTCTCATAGGAGCGCGGACCCTGTTGTGAACTGAGCATGCGAGGGATCTAGGTCTTGCGTGCTCATAAACCATGTCCCCCGACCCACGCCCTTGGTCTAGTCCAGGGAAAAATAGTCTTCCACAAAACCAGACTCTGGTGCCGGAAAAGCTGGGCATGGCTGATTCGGGGAGGCAGTGTGAATAGACTTGGAATCACCAGCTGGATCAGTATCCGTTCCACAGCGTTCGAAGATAAAAGTGTTGCAAAGCCAGGGCATGGGCTTTGGAGCCAGAGGCTCTGCTCCCCGCAATATCACCCTCTGGCGGTGTGACGCCGGACAGGTGACTCAGTCCTGAGCTTCAGTTTCCTCGTCTGTGAGACGAGACTATGACAGAGATCCTGCCTGGAGCATCCTTCATCCTTAAGAGTATGAAACAAGGCAGAGTGTGTACGGCACCTACCGCGGTTGTTGGCAGTGTCAGAGCTCAGTAACTTACTAACAAATGTGAATTATTGACATGTTTAAAAAGGTATCCCAGTGGGCTGGCCCTGTGGCCTAGTGATTAAGGAAACCAGATCCCACATGGTCCACTGCATGGCTGGAGTCCTGGTCCTGGAAACCTGAAAAACATGCTAAGTGTGTGTGTGTGTGTGTGTGTGTGCACACGCTCCAAATCCTGACAGGATGGAGAAGTGGAGAAGCAGGGCTTGCAGCCTGACCACGTCCAATCGTGCGGTGCTTTCTCCCTCTTCTGGTGTGCACGCCCTCTGGCCCAACAACCAAAGCAGAACAATTCTAGAGACCAGACTAGTTTGACGTGGATCAACGGCGTTTGCGCCCACATTGCTTCCACCCCACATCGGCGTCCTCGCTCACCTGGTCCATGGGTAGAAATGGGCCGGCTGGCGGTTGGCACGTGCAGACACGGTGGCCTCGGCGGTGGCCGGGCCCCGCGTCTTATCCGCCAGGCTCTGCTCGATGGCCATCTGCACCAGCTCGTCCTCGCTCAGGCTGCTGTACAGGCTGTACTCCTCGTTCCCGATGGTGCGCTGCTGGCCCCGGGCGCTGATCTCCGTGGCCATTGCCCTCCACCTCTCGCCCGGCCTCCAGGGAGGCACTCACAGGGATGGAGAGCAGCAAGTCAGAAAACCCTGGGAGGCACCAAAACCGTCCTGGTCAGCAACAGCTTTGCAAGATAGCCGTGATCTCCCACTCGGCCAGCATCCTCCTACACAGCCCTCTGCCCACTTACCCATTCACAATCCACCTGCCAGCCTAATCATTCCTCCGACCATCCACTCTCTGCCCATCCATTCATTCTCTACCCGCTCACCCACATATCTATCCCCCCACTCTTCCTTCCATCCACCCATCCAACCCCTAGCTACGCACCGATCCGTCATCCTCTTCTCCACCTGTCTGCCCATCCACTCTGTCCTCCTAGCCACCACTGCTCTTCTACCTAGCCAGTCTTCCAGCCATCTATTCACCCATCCACCCTCTCTACTGTCAGTTATTGCCCCTCCTGCCCACTGTCCACCCACCCACTGTATACGCACCCTCCCTCCCGTTCACCCACCTGTACCTCTCACCAACCAACCGCCTACCCACCCACCGTTCGTTTCCCCACTCCAGCCCCACTGTCTACTCGTGCACGCACACATTAACTGGAAGGTTATTTACTGGGTGCCTACTCTGTGTCAGGCACTCTTTGAAGCACTGGGGGACACAACAGTGACTGCCCAGAACAAAGTCCCTGCCCTCATGGAGCTCACACGGTGATCCCTTTGCTCCTTCCACTCTCCAACAACCTCCTGTCCTGACACGTCTCCACTTCTCTGCACTGAGTTAGGGCTGAGAAGGCTAGAGGTGCATCGAACACAGGCACGCCACTTGAGATCATGCAATCCAGTTAAAATAAATCATTAAGATAGTTTGCCATGTTAATTGTAGGGATTCTCTTCCAAAGAAAATATCTCCACGAGAAATGGATTTTAGTTGAGTCAAGTGCTTTTAGGAAACAAATTAAAATCAGCTAAGCCTGATTTGTGTCGGCTGGCTGGCTAGCAGTGTGACTGTAGGTCAGGGGTACTTAACCCTGGCTGAACCGTAGAATCACATGAGTTGTTTAAAAATACCCCAAAATACCAGTGCTGTCCTGTGGTGTGTTCAGCAGTGCTCATTCCTCTCTCCCTGCAGAGAGAGAGCCCCCTCTCCTCCCCAGTGACACTGCATCTGTGTCCACGTGACTTGCTCTGGACAGTGAGTGTTGGACTCACGTGATGGCAAGTATGTGTGCAGGGAGTTTGCTCTTTCTCTTCTGCCATCACCCAGAGAGAGCACCCCACTGGGGCTGCTGCCCTTCTGCCTGGGCCTCAGAGAGAATGTCTGTGGGCCTTAGTTGCTGATAGCAACCTGAGCCCAAGGTGCCCCAAGGAGCCCACCCAGCGGGGCCTGCATCCCAGGCTAGCTTCCATCAGCCAGTGTGCAGCCAGCCTGCAGATCCAGAGCAAGAGAATGTTGCTTCTTCGGGGTGCTTTGTTATGCAGCATTCTTACAGCCCTAGTTAGCTGTTACACAAAAGATCAGGCCAGACTCCTTATCAAGAGAACATCCGAATGACCAATAACCCAAAGTAGAAGCACTGAACTTCATTGGTGTTTAGGGTGATTCAGACTAAAACCCCAGAGCACTACTAACTATGTACCCACCAGAACTCCAGTGAAAACTACCAAGTTCCAGGGAAGGTGTGCAGTCACCAGAATTCCTCCCACCATCGGTAGCAGTGTAAGATGGTAAAACCTCTTTGAAAAATGGGTGGTACTTGCTGAAGCAGAACATACATGTGTCCTATTACCCGGACATTCCCCTTTCTAGCTATTAATATATGCCTAAAAGAACCACATACCTATGTTCACCCAGAGACAAGGTCAAGATCATTAATGACAGCACTGCTCATAATCAACCCCACAGGAAACGGACCCCAGTGCCCATCAATATCTGAAAGGATTAACACATTGTGCTATGTTGAGACAATGAACAGCGTGCACCAATGAGAAGGGATGAGCTGCTACTATATGCAGCAAGGGTGACCCCCACAGACATGGAGCTAAACAAGCCAGACCAGAAAGAACACATATGCATGATTTCATTTACATGAAGTTCAAGAATAGACAAAAAAAGTTCACTGTGTAGCTGGCTCAGTGTCTCCATTATTGTAAGTGTGACAGGTCTTGATGACAACAGAAGCTGGCTTTGTTCAGCAACAGTGTGCCCCATCCCATGGACGAATCATCATCGTTCCAAACCGGTTGGGACAATCCTACTCCATTGGCCAGTGACTAGTGTAAGTGAGGGCATGCAGCCTCGTTTTGTCTACAGATACAACAGAAATTCTGCTATGGCATTCCTAAGAACCACTTTCCTCCCTAATAAAAGAGAAGAGTGAAAAAAGTACTCATTGTCCCAATGCCTGCTTTATGCTTGGAGGTTCTGATGCTTGGAGCAGTAGCAGCCATCTTGTAACCGTGAGGGGGACAGAGTGAATGATAGGTTTATGCCATGAGTTTGACAAGATGAGTGATAGGCTGTCTGGGTCCTGCACTGAATCAC